GGTCAAGAATTTGCTATTAAAGATCTTGGTCGTCTCAATTTCTTTCTTGGCATAGAAGTTCATTACACAAGCCTTGGTTTGATTCTATCTCAATCCAAATATGCACTAGACATTCTATCCAGAGCTCAAATGGAGGGTTGCAACTCGATCTCCACTCCTATGGCACTTAAAGCACGTTCCTCACATTCTAGCAATGATGCATTTCATGATCCAACTCATTATAGGAGTATTGTTTGGGCACTTCAATACCTCACATTTACTCGACCAGATCTCTCATTTGCAGTCAATTATGTTTGCCAGTTCATGAATTCTCCTACAATTGGAAATTACCAAACCGTCAAGCGGATCTTAAGGTATGTACATGGGACTCTCAATTATGGCTTACAAATTCTTAACCAAAGTTCCTTGGACTTGTATGCCTTTTCAGATGCTGATTGGGCTAGGTGTTCTTTGACCCGCCATTCCACCTCTGGTTATTGTACCTTCTTGGGAAGCAACTGCATTTCATGGTGTGCAAAGAAACAACCTACAGTGGCTCGTTCGAGTGCCGAAGCAGAGTATCGATCTATGGCTTCAACAACTGCTGAAATCACTTGGCTTGCACACCTTCTTCGTGACATTGGAGTGGCTCTTAACAATGCCCCTATTCTTCATTGTGACAACTTAAGTGCAATCTATATGACAGTCAATCCAGTCTTTCATAGCTGCACCAAACACGTTGAAATTGATTATCATTTTGTTAGAGAGAAAGTTGCTCTTGGTCACCTTATTACTCGGTTTGTCAGTTCTACCTCACAGTTAGCTGACATCTTTACAAAGCCATTGACTCGAGACAGCTTTCATCGACTCTGCAGCAAATTGGGTCTTGTGTCTCTGCCACTGCCTAATTTGAGGGGGAGTAATACACCCCCAATCTCCAGGATTTGAGAATATGACGATGTGAGAATTTTAGATCTGTCCCACAAACAATGTACCAACTGAAATCTCCTCGAAGGCTAGGGATGAAAGACTGCCCCAGCATCGAGTTCATTCCAGATCAAACTTGAGAGATCTTCACTTACAGCGATGTGTGAATCTTCAGTCTGTGCCAAAGACGATGTACCAGCTCACATTGCTTCAGAGTTTAAGAATCTTAGGTGGGGCTTTAACAATGGGCTTCCAAAACCTTATGTCTCTTCGATGGTTAAAATTTGAGCAAAAATTACCTCTGGATATTATGCTGCCTTCTTCTCTGACCTCTCTTTGGATCTGGAATGAAGAAAATTTGAAAGCCATACCTGGGAGGTTCTTCCAAAACCTAAGCTCCCTTAAAGTGTTACATATAATCAACTGCCCAAAGCTACAATCTTTGCCAAGGGAAGCCTTCCCTTCCTCGCTTGGAGAACTACGCATCAGAAGGTGTACGCATCTAAAACGATAGCGGTTTGAGGTGAAAGGATACTATTCGACTATCATCTGAAGCATCCCCTGCATTCAGATAGATTAGAAAGAGGTAATATAAGCTTACAGTGAACTGGAACAGACATCACCATTTTATGCTTTTCATATGAGAATTTAGAAAAATTATAATAGATAACACTTTGACTTCTTTTGCCTTTTCTTATATGTGTTGCAAATCCTTTTTGCAGGGTTTATTTTTCCCCAATTGTTGAGGTAAATAAAGCCAAGCCACTCCTCAGTGTTACAAAATGATAGATTAGAGAGAGGTAATATGTGCTTGTATCCATTTTGCAAATCCTATTCTTATGCTTTCACATTATTTTGAAAGGGGATGAGTGGTTGTCCTTGGCATTATGGAAATTCACAACCACCAAGGAGCTTGCTGCTTGCAAAATGATGTTCTTTGGCAAACCAACCAATTTCAATTTTAAATTCAATTACTGCAGGAGCTAATGTTTTATGTTCTTAAGAATTGGGAAGATTTTTGAAACAAGGAGTTGCTGATGTTCAAATGAGATTTTTCTGTAAGTTGGAACTGGAATGCGGATGACCTCTGCTGAATTAAGCAAGCTTGTAATCTAACTAAGCCAAGCTACAATTTTACAAGATTTTTATTTGGGAAAGCAGAACTTACCCGTAAGTATCCAAACTACCTCTTTAAAATTTTATTGTGATGCCTATTTGCTTTGCTATTGTTATTATTTAGGACAAGGAATCAAAACCGATATATCAAGCTATCTCTATGCTTCATTTTACCTGAGCAAAGTTAATACATTTTGATGATGATATACTTGTCTATTCCTCTACTATCTATGATGTTATCTGCCTTGGAACTAAATGATTATTTCCCATTGCTTCCTTCTCTTGATTAATACATATTGGTTGCGTTAAAGACTACCTAAATTTCCTTCATTTATTCTGCAATTAATTTTTTTCCCAGATCTTATAGATTTCTATAGCTTTGTGCTTTTATTTTACTTCCATTTCATTTCAGCAATTCACTTATCCATCTTTCCTTTCTATGTTACAATTGGTGCTTTTTGTCTTCTTCAAACTCTAAATGAATTATTTTCTCAAATTTCAGTCTAGCCTTTGATTTTTCTAATTTCTCATCCTTTTTTCTCATGTTCCTAGTTGCATGTGCAGAGGGGATAGCTAAATCTTGTTAGGCCTATGTAGGACCCCTTGGTTTGTGACTCCCTTTTTCCTTTTGTGTGCCAGAAGTTATGAGCATACTCTAAATTGTAGTGGTACTGCTTTTACCCCGTTTAATAATTTCATTTGCTAGTGAAATATCATGTGCTTGCTCATTTCAATTCTAATTGATTTTTGTTGTCTTGTATTTGTTTTACCAACTATTTTTATAACATTTTTCCTTATCTTAATTTTGATTCCAATGCATGGAGATCAGGTAGATATCAAGAAGTTAGTGTCCCACAGGCCCCTTTATTTGCCTCCATCCCCATCTCTTATCCATTTCACATTTCCCATAATCTTAGTGATTGCTTCTCTACTACTATGTAACGTCCAACTTAGTTCATGTCTTAAATCTTATGGCAACTGATTAAACCCTTTACCCTCTTCAAGTCAACTACAGGATTAGTTAAAAGGTGATTGATCCAAGATTCCAAGTTCAAGCCTCCCTTTTTAGGCAAGATCTTTCTTCAAGAAGTAGGTGCTGGATGCTTTGACATTAATGTTGCCTTCCATGTGGGAGATGATACCTCCAATGTGATGAGTCAGAAATGAATAATCCAACAATGTGTGCTATGTTCTCTCTTTATTCATCCTAAGTCACAGCCAAGATCGCAACACAAACACTGCTGCTTCAATTATCCGTTGCTTTCCTTAACAATGGGCTGACTTGCAAAGCAGCTTCAAGATCTAATGATGCACCAAATACGCACTAATTTTAGGCAAGTGAACCTAATCGATTATGCAGTATAAGATGAGTAAGATATCGTTCCCTCGAGGACTATCCTACACTACCAAGACCCTATTAATCTAACCTAAGTTGAATTAACCAATTAATGGGGAGAACTAAGCTATTTAAAAGAAAACTAAGT